GAACAGTCTCCTGTTCATGACTATTCGCCCAGTGGTCATAAGTTGTAATTGTTACTTGTCTTTGGCTCCTGCTTCTGTGTTAGGCATTGGGTGGGGTAAACTGAAGATCCTCAGGACTTGTTCCAGCACTCAAGGAACCAATAATTTATCTGGAGACATGGATTAAAAATTAAAACTGTTACAGAATAACCAAGCTCAAGGCATAATCAAGTCTTTTTGCCAAGACAAGATTGCTTTGGTTTCATTTTTTTCTCTAAGGAGCTGTCTCTTCTTCTAGTCTTTGTTGTAACTAAATGTTGATATATAAATTCTGTAGTCTAGAGGATGAAGTAATATGATCAGAGAAGCAGAAACAGGCTTGGAAAGTATTAAAAAACAGTAAATGTGAAAAAGAAGAAATGCAGACTGAACTTCGTTCAACAACATTCCAACTTTTAGTGAATGGTGTAGGCTGAGGTTCACCAAATTTAGTGTCAGTAGTCAGTATTTATGCTGGCTCTTAAAAGCATAGAAGAGAAAGAAAGAAACCATATGCCTGATAACTGGGGACAGAATACTGTACTGTGGTGCAAAAAAAGAAGGTGGATTCCAGTTAGAAATCAGCTAGAATCCTTAGGTTAATGATTACACCAAGGGCTGAGACTAACAAAGTGGTAAACAAGCGTAAGCTCCACAAGCATTTGAATTCTGTAGGTCTCCCAGATTTAACCATATCAGTGTCACTGTAAGTGATAAGCTTCATTTCCACTTTACAACTAATGCCTGTATGCAACAGCCATGGACCTGTTGCTAGCCTGGGAAGTTACTGCTATTGCTAAGAGATCTATTGTGAAAAAGTAAAACAAAGCCCAAAACTTCACAAGAATCCATAATGTTGAATAAGGAAGATGGGAAGCAATTATAAAATATAGAATGATAGAGAATGTCTTCTCTTCCTTAATATATTGTTCCTATCATTTACCTACTAGAAGTCATTCTTCTGCCTTTGTTCTTTCCTTCTCTTTCTTTCTTTCTCTTTCTCGCTTCCTGCTTTCCAGTCTTCTTCTTTTTTCTCTTCCTCCTTCTCCTTTTCCTCCTTATCCTTCTCGTTCTCCTCCTCCTCTTCCTTTTTTGTCATGTTAGGACATAGAGCCTAGGAGCTTATGCATACTAGGCAAGTGTTCTACCACTGAGCACATCCCCAGGCTTCTTGTCATTTCTTGTACTCTCAAATTTTCTTATGGAACTATTCCTCTGAGGCCACAAAATATTCTTTAAATTTGTGTCTTTGAAAGAGCGGATGGTCTTCCACACATGAACATAAATTAGTTTAATCTATTTATTTTACTCAGTTCTTACTTGCAGTATGCTAAAGAAATGTTGACTTGAAAACATGGAGTAAATAGACAAGCTGGATGACATATGGATAATGAGTACTGATGCATAGAAAAGAGTTTTAGAAGAATGCCGGGGAAGTAAGGTGCAAAGAAAGGAGCTGACATTATTTTCACCTATTTCAACACCAACCAAGGCTGGTGCTGTTCTCACCAAGACAGGAAGAGAAATTTCTTTCTTCGTCTACTGATAAAATTACCCCAGTTCCTAGGACCTGATATCAACCTGATACCATAACAAACCTCAGATATTTAAGATTTCTTGTAGCTAACTTAGTGACATAAGTCTTGTAGGAAAATGAAGGTTATTCCGAACAGTTTAAAAGTAAGACTCTTCTAGCTTTAAAAGCAATGGTTAATTTGGGAGAATATCATCAAGATTTCACTATATGAAATTTTAATATTCAAATTACTATGATCAACAAGAATGGCAATTTGATATAGGCAATCTAAAAGTTGATCAGTTGATGAATTCCTTACATTAGACCACATTACCAGAATGAAAAATTTGTAAGCTATGTTAGCTATGCTAGCTAGCTATGTTGTATAGTAGAATGATTAAATATATGTAGTCTCTACTAGCCTTGAAGACATATTGCGATTGATGATGTTATAAGTGATGCTGTTAAAAGTAGTTATATTATAAGCCCAATTCTCTGGATCAAGCTCCCTGTGTCATGTCAATTTATTCCATTTTTATTTAGACAGCAGTTCTGTCCATAGCCCTAGGCAACCTAAGACAGCCCAACCCATGGGTGTTTTAGGTTGAGGTCCAGAGTGAGCACCATGGGTTTCAGGGAAACTGTAGGTGAACTCAGTTTTTTCTGGCATTACTTAGTGCTCACAAAAGGGTTTTGCCATGTGGTCTGGTAATCTTGTAGTCTAAGTTTACTTAGGTTACAAAGGAAGACCACTTTTATATTTTCCTTTATTTTGCACAATAGCAATTTAAAAGTCTCTAACTTATCTAGATGAACTACAAGAGCCTTTTCAGTTCTTTCATTATTAGATTTTAAAAGTTAAAAAACTATGCTTATGGCCCTATGCATATGTTATTTCTGTAATTATATGCAAAAAATAGGCAACAATAATAATTCTGGAAGGAGAAATTGACTTTTTCTCTTACTAAGCTTTTTTGCACTATATTTTTCTTTAGAATCATCTCTTACTTATTAATAAATATTTTAAAATATGGTTAATTTAAAATTTAAGCAGAGAGGGATAGGGATGTAGCTTGGTGGTAAAGTACATGCTGAGCATGCCTGAGGCTCTGTGGCTTATAAAAAATACCACAATAAGATGTAAGCGGACAAATGTTTTACTTATGAAAGCACAGAACCCCTCCCTGTATAAATGTTTACATCCTGTTCTTGTTCTTTTTGTGACCTTACCATTATTGTGATTTTTTAAAAATAATAACTCTTAGGAACTGTGGGAGGCAGAACAGAGACAGACGATGTTGATGATGGAAATTGATATTTATTCTGCAAATATTTGTAACTATGTTATGTGATAGGTCCTAGGCAAGGTACTTCCTCCTTTCCCTAACTTCTGGAAGGCTTCTTGTGTAAACATCCAAGCATTTTTTTCCTTTGAGGGTAGAGCTCTGCATGCTTAAAATGCTTCCCATAGATAAACGGTGGTCTGTTCTATATGAACTTAGCTACTGCTCAGCTCATCTGCAGGGAGAATCATTCACAGTATAGCACTAAGGTGGGTCCCAAGTGTTTGGGTGAGGCAGACACTACACAGATGACATATATGTGAGTTAGGGGGTACTTCACATGGACAGCAGACTGCTCTTGAGGAAAGAAGATTCAGAGGGAAGATTTTAAAAAGGAAGGTGGTAAGGAAAGAGAGGATCATCGGCATAGGAACTGGTGTAGTACAGGAATGCCAAAATTGACAAAATTGTTGAATTACCCAAAATCTGATTCCCAACTTTTATAAACAGCATCCCCAACACACGAAGGGAGACTGACAAATTCCTTAAGCTTCATACTTAAGACAACTTTTATAAAGTCACAGAATTGCCTAATTTCAATTTAGATTTGGTATAGATAATGTAATAATCATAATGATTTCTTTTGTTGTTGTTGTTGTTTGTTTTTTCCGGTACCGGGAACCTTGCCCTTGCCAGGCACGTGCGCTGTGCCGCTGAGCTAAATCTCCAGCCCCCATAATGATTTCTATTTGCTTACATTCTAGACTTTTTAAAAACACTTAAGACATAAACTATTTCTCTAAATCGTCACATAAATACTGTGAGAATTTTTTCAGTTTTGCAGATGAGAAAACTGCTTGGAGGTAGAGCTACTTGACTACCTTTAAACCCAGTTGGGAAATGCCTGAGGTTAGAACAGGATACGCTGCCCTACCCGTTGGTTTGAAGCTAGCCTCACAAACGTCTTTCCAATGATAGGCAGAGTACGCAGGATCTTATCAGGGAAATCCCTCCAGTTTTCATAAACTAGCCTACATGCCCTAGATACGCCCATTTCTTCCATTCTTCCCCTCCAAGCTACCTTCCTAGCTCTACTGCATGGCCGACCTTTCCAGAGTCCACTGGGGATTATGCGTCTCCTCCCTCAGCATCTCTGTTGGCTCTATACAGCCCACAACATAAAGGACAAGCTCCAGACTGGCAGTCAGGTCCTCTGTCTCAGCTCCATCCACCCCTCCAACCCTCTTTCCCCCGCAGTGCGCCAGTTCTTGCTACTTTTATTCTAACCAAGTGGGGCCAGCATAGGGCGTGGAAGAACACACAACTTAAGGGTTTGTTTTAGTGTAATATTTTAAATATAAAAACAAAATTTGCCCCAAAATAAATAATAAATAAAAAGCAAAAGTTTCAAATAAAGACAGAATCAGTGTTACTGATTTTTCCTTTTGGTCCTTTAGATTCTAAAATATCTCTCAAGAGCTCTGTTACTTGCCTTGCAGGACTTCCCACTCAGTTACTTTTACAAAGCATCCCCAAGGTGAGTTCTCACAACCCCTTTCCACACGGGTTGCGTCTCTTTTCTTGGAATGCTCAGACGATTCTACCAGTAGTGCACTTCTGTCAGGAAAACCCATTTCCCCTAGTACTCTGAGGATAGTCTGAACCGTCTGGGACCCTTTCCGGGGCCTTTCTAAACTACAGCGGGCACTCAGCACCTTTTCATGGAAAGAATGCAGTTTATTGACTCCCATTGGCTGAACAGAGAAGGTCCGGAGTAACTGAATTTGTTATGGAGATTTAATAGCCAGGATATTTTACATGAAAAACAAATTCTACATCTCTGTTATTTCTTGAAAAACAAGAAAATCCTGCAAAATCGCGTCCGAAATCCTGCATGATAGCAGAAGAGCAGCCTTGCTCTGGAGCTCTCCCAGCCGGCTGGCCTCCTCCTGCCCTTTTCGCTCGTTCTCGGCGCCTACCAGGCCTCATTAGCTTGCCACCTTAGGCATGAAGGAACGAGTGGACTGGATAAAAGGCCATCTGCCAGGCTTACTCTCACTTTCCTGGAGAATAAACGTTTCCTGGTTGTCCTTCCAAATAGTCTCGTGGAGAGCCAGAAGCAACCCACTTGTCCAGCCTGCAAACTTCCCGCAGCCCATGAAACTCACAGCGCCTTCCTCACCAACCAGCTCCCTCCACCACCCAAGCCCTGTCCTCTGCTCAGAGGCCGCTCTCCTGCACCGGCTCTTCCCTTCCTCCCTCGCTCCCTGCACTGGGGGTCAGCCGCGCCGGCGCTGCTCTTTGCCCCGGGCCGGGAGCGCGGGCTCGCCCAGGGCGGCACTGGGCATGCTCAGAGGCGGCAGCGGGCGCAGCTTCGCTCGCAAGCGCTCGCACTCGGCGGCGGGCGGGC